TGGATAAGCAAAAATATCTCCATTGTGACGTCATTATACCGTACCTGACATGCAAACTGTTTTGTTTCAAAAATGATCGTTGAATGGCATAAATTATGACAAGTCGTCGGGAAAATAGTGTAAATATAAGATATGAATTTATTTTTGAGAATACATGGGGCACACGCACTTCATGAAATATGCCGGCGTGAAGCGTCGTAGTTCATGTCCTCATGAACTCTCAAAAATTAAATTCATTTCTTAAATAAATGTATATGTGTAAATATTGATATGAATGTTAAAACAGATATTTTCATAAAAGATGACAAAGCACAATAATTTATACAAAAATTACACAACTACTTGTGATTCCAATAATATTATCTATATTAGTAGTGATTGTGACGTAGTTAATTGTGTCATATGATATGTGTCCTGCATCCCCTTAAGCGTTCATTGATCATCCGTTCCATGCTTTTACATAAGCTGTTTGTGAACGCAATTAGTCGAAAATTGTTAAGATCTGTGTTGTCCTTTGAATTCCAAGCTTTGGGATAAGAATAATTGTGGCCGAGAAATTTAATATTTCCTCGTTCCTTTTTAGAATTAATAAATAGAGGTTACTTTGCTGGATTTTCACTCTATTTATCCAATTCTTCAAATATTGACGATGGATTGCTGTGTTACAAGGATGGCCCTGATTTACCACCACTGGACATCAATGTAACCTGTCCTGGTTATGCTCGATACGTATTCTACTATAACGAAAGATTATCAGGAGTTAAATACCCTGTTGAATATGCATTGACATCAATTACAGAATTATGTGAAGTGTTTGTCTTTGGTTAGTATGGAATGTAATCTTTGCCTTATAATGCACCACTTCAGACACAGTACGAGGGGTGATCAAAAAGTTCGAGAACTAATTCAATTGCTTCCATAAAAAAAAAAAATTAGGGTTCAGTAATCATTAATTTTTTAAAGTAGAAAATCCGATTTTTATGCACATCTGTCACCGTTCTGCCCATGCGCGATTCACGTGATCCAGGCGGTCACGTGACATGCTACGTAGCGGTAGGTTCACAGAAGCTTTAAGATTATTCATAGTCTAATATTTCTTACCAAGAAAGTTATTTTTTATAACAAGAACTGTCCATTTGTCAGAAATGGCTAAATCTCGACAATAGGATGGAAGGATAAGGATACCCTTTCCTAGAATGAGCATGATGACCATCAAAACCCGAGTCCTCTGTCTTGAAAGCGTCGTTTATCCGATGTGGATAAGGGATGGGCGCCTTCACTTTATCATATCTGATATGTTTAAAGTCTAAAGTAAACGATATTTTAGGGATTTTAATATTATATTATTTTTAAGATATTCAACTATTTTTCTAACTGGGCAACAAAACAAACATCATTTTTAACCATCTCCCTTCCTTCAATAAAACAATCAATCCAATAAATGATTGAATTTTTGGCAAGTCCTTTGTCTTCATAAACCCTTTACAAATCAATATATGCTTCTGCAGAGGATTTTCAAAGATAAACGAAAAAGTCTTTAGCCGCTCGTTGCTCGAGTACGACTAAGTCAACCATTGTTTGTCACAAGTTTATATATATATATATATATATATATATATATATATATATATATATATATATATATATATATATATATATATATATATATATATATATATATATATATATATATATATTTATATATGTCATTTTCACACTGTAGCGTCACAAACATGGAGCCAAACATCACATAACATCTGTTATTTATAGAACATTTGTACGACTATACGTGTGCCAAATTTCATTTTGATCTGAATTGTGGTTTTATAAACATAGAGATAGTTCGCGAACTTTTTGATCACCCCTCGTATGCCTATAAGTGTAAACATTATATTACGTAACGTCATTACGTGATTTGAACATATTTTTATATTATAAATATATCAACACTTTAATGCATATCATTACATGATTTCATAAGTTTAATAGATAATGTAAACATGGCTTTGCATAATGTTTTCAAATTGAATCCATTATGTTAAATCAGCAAAAGGCTAATGTCAATTCTGTTTGAAGTTATGTGAGTATAACAATAACATAAAATCAGATTTTTCACGTGCAATGTAAATAATTTTTTTCAAGACATCTTAAAATACCGACCAATATACAGAGAGTAGAGAAGAGAAAAATATGATTGTAAATATCATCATTGTACAGATATATTTACATCACGTGACGAAGTTTTAATTTATATGTAGTAGATCCTAAAGAGGGATATACAAGTTCAATCACATGAAAAAAATGACATACTTAGTGTTGTCATTATGAAAAGTATGCTTATTTAATACAATGGTGGATTAAATAAGGTTTTCACAAAATGTAATGAATAGTAAGCATTAGAGAAAAAAATGTGTAATTTCACATCATGAAAATATTGAAATGTGTAATTTCACATCATGAAAATATTGAAATCCTGCGCTAAGGTGTAGGAACAGCGCGAATATATTTTCACGTAACACTGATGCAATGGCATCATGTAATAATAAATTATAATTTAACAATTATATCTAATGATACGATAAGACAGTGACAGGGTCGATAAGTTAGTATACTGCAGTGAAACCTGTCTAATCAGACATGAGAAACAAATTTTGTGTCGGAATAGAGCGGATTTTGGATATGACAGTGTAAAAACACGGAAATCAGTTAAATGGAAATTAAATAAAGGTCAAAATCCACAGTAAAATGGGTTGAACAGATGTCAGATTACACAGTTTTCACTGTAGTCAATAATGATTGTTTTCATAAGACAAACTGATTTTCACACGCAGACATGCCCAAATAATGTTTTCTGATTGCTTTTTAAAAGGCTGTGCAAAAGGGTTTTACGGTTTAAATTGTGTATTTCCATGCCATGAAAATTGCCAGGGAAAAATATGTGATATTATAAATGGAACATGCTATGGATGTGAAGCCGGATGGACGGAGGATTTCTGTAATCAAGGTATGCATTTTAAAAGAATAATACTTTTAATTTTTATATATATATATATATATATATATATATATATATATATATATATATATATATATATATATATAGCATATAAACATTCTATAAAACTCCTTGTTACATACTTACTAATATATACAAGATTTTAGCATATATGCTTGACATCGCAATAGCCGCCGTATCAGCTTCCAAGACTGATCCAGATTCTGCAGGGCTGATACGGATTTATATCACACCCCTAGTAGAATAAACCTTAAAAACAGTACTTGTGGTAATACAGCTATTTTCTGTACACATTCTCTTAATTTTAAATTACTGTCCTTTGAATATAATAAGCTATACATATGTCAGAAGTCAGTACAAGATAATTTAGGTGTATTTTTCTCAAGTCGTTGTGTGCTGTATTTTAATACTAAGTATGTAATAAAATTAATAAATCATACCCTTTTCCATATTACATCCTGTATCAGCCCTCGACCAGTATAAGCCCTCGGTCGTTCGGTCCTATGGCTGATATTGGTGTCTAATATACATGTGATATGGAAAGGGTGTGTATTATTCTCTATATTAAACATTTTCTATATATCATAATAGAATGTTCATTTGGATCCTATGGATTAGATTGTCAGTATCAGTGTTCGGGGCATTGCTTGAATGGGTGTAATCATGTGACTGGTGAATGTACTGATAACTGTGCAGCAGGATGGACAGGAACATTTTGTGCAAAACGTAAGCACGGTCTGAATCAGGAATAACGTTTTAAATAAAATAAAAAAAAGCTTAAATGAGTTATAAAAAAGCCGAGTTTTTAAGAGTTAAGTTTAGGAACTAATCTGCCATAAATTTTGAATACCGAATGAAATATGCTAAAAAGTACGTACTTTAGTGATAGAGAAAAAACGTAAAGAAAAGAAGAAGCGTTTCCCAGTAGAATTCTATGCTTACATATGTATATGGACCCACCGGGCACTTCCCAAAATTTATCGAAATGTCAGTTTAACGTTATTTCAGCGTTACTTTGTTCTCACATTTAAACGATAGGGAGGCTTCATATGTTCTTCTCTTTTTCCCAGTAACTATTTAATAACTCTAGAAATCAAACAGGTACAAATTCTCTCCATTCTTAAACCCCCTTTACACACTTGTACGTGTATGCTTATAATACCCAAATGCCAAATATCCATCAGATATCTCTTACAGTCGGACAATTACCAACTATAGGACTGGAGACGTTCAATTGTCCGTAGTAACTGATGGCCGTTCAGCTCTTTGCTGTCACTATGAGTACATGATTGGTCGAAAAAAATATATGAATCAACAATAAACTAAAGCACTAGACACAATATTCCAGCTTTGTAATAATTTGTTGCGAATGTCCTCAGTCTGAACAATTTTACTCAGCTTTTCAAAGAAATTGATGTAGGCCCGTGGCGCAGCTTCGACTTCAAAATTCAGTTTGATGTCTATAGCCTAATGAAAATTTTTATGCTATCCGTTTTGCAATCAAAAATCAAACTTGCAGGAAAGGTCAAAATAAAGATCATAATATGATGTATATTATATCCTAAATGTTCATACATTATCCGAGTTAACCAGAACTAAATACTTAGTAGTTAGAGAAATCTTACACTCGATTTCGAGACTGCGCCTTATACATTCGGCTTATTAATACTAGGTTATTCAAAAGAAAAATTGAAAGAAATATTCCTGAAATATTTCTTACTTTTATATAATTTTTGTGTTTGATAAATGTATGCACCACATTTCATCAAAACACGTTGATTAGAGAAAGAAACAATCAGAATGTCTTGAACAGCCCTCACAGAAAGCACAAATCCTTTAAAATTTTACCATTTCAATCTAATTGTAGCATGTGATATTGGAAAATATGGCCTTAACTGTGCCTTTAACTGTAGTGGTCACTGCAAGGATAATGTTCCGTGTAACAGGGAAACTGGACATTGTAATACTGGATGTACCATCGGATATGAAGGAGAATTCTGCAGTGAAGGTATGAAAAATACATGAACGTAAAATTTGATTTTTATATTTACTATGTACATGTCTGCAATATGTATATTCTTAAATCTTATTATTCGAACAACAAGATCATTTTTGAAATGTAAAAAAAAAATTCAAATTAAAAAGAAATGAATCTGAAACTTCAAATATTGAAATATTGTTTTCTTGTGCATCAATTTTATCTCTATTGATGGGCAAAGAAATCCTTAGGTCAAAATCTTAAGGACGATCTTCATTTAATAATTCGACAATGAAAATTACCACTTAGAAATTCGTTTGGTCTCTATATGTATTTAGAAAAGCATTTTCATGTTTTTGTCATTAATAATAGCTTGTAGTTTTGGAAGATTTGGAAACGGATGTGAGAATATTTGCAGCGGACATTGTCTTTACAATGAGACATGTAACCATGTGAATGGACTCTGTAGTAAAGGTTGTGCTCCAGGATATTATGGATCCCTTTGTAGTAAAGGTATGGACTTCTAAAATTGAAAATTAAAAAAAAATGACATACAACAATATGGTTTATAGAATTTAAACAAATTCAGAAAAGACTATTTTCTGACTGTTTTGTATGAAAATTTTTAATTCTTGTATTCTTTATTCAAGGCAAAATGTATTTGAAACAACATACATAAAAAATAAAAACAAAATAACACATGTTTCACGTGAAAAGAAAAAAAGCTAAATTGAAAAATTTTACTTAAGATTTTATTTTTGTCTTTCGTATATCATTTTCCCACACACTCTAACAACCATATCTTGGAAACTATATTCTGGAGTGATGCTTAATAAATACTGTCTTAAGGATACATAACACAAACAAAAATTTGATGCATGGATTGATATACATTTTTTGACTGAATTTGATTATAAATGACATAAATAATAAATTCCTAAAATGTATAAAAATCATACGTTTTCTTTGGTACTTAAATATACAACTTCGTGTCATTTCTATGTCATTCTATACAAAATTTTACCGTTCACGGTAGCGCAGTCGGTAGAGCGCTCGCTCCGTGATCGGGAGGTCGTGAGTTCACGAATGGGACGTAAAACAACGTACATTCAATCAATCTATACAAAATTTTGCACAAATTTTTATCATTGGGACAAAGCCGTACAAAATTCTTCTACTTTACATCGCAAACATTATTCAGACTACCTATTTAAATATAAATCTATGAGAAATATTGCTGACTTGTTTAAAAGTTTGTGTTATTTATCAAAAAGCCACATGAAGACAAAAACTCTGAGCAAGTGGAAGAATGACAAATATATGTACACCTGATATTTACCCCCCCCCCCAAAAAAAAAAAAAAAAAATTGGGGAACACTTCTACAATATTTTTTGAGTTTTATCCTCAGATTTGTTTTTTTTTCCCGAAAAGCACTAAATTAAAAGAAAAAAGTACGCTTTCACATGTTCTAACTCATTCAAAACATAACTTATTTGAAATAAAGATTCGCACTGTTATAATGTGAGTTACTTTACAGGTTATATTCTATTTATATGCATTGGCAATTGTAGTACTGTTCCTTATATGTAAAATCAAAAGCTCTCTTTCAGTTTGTCCTAGTGGTTCCTATGGTTTGAATTGTTCTGGCACATGTTCTCGAAATTGTATTGGTACTTGTGGAAATGTCGATGGTTCCTGTAAATGTGTACCTGGATTTTCTGACCCACCAAACTGCACCACTGGTATTATAATTATATTTCAAGCATGATTCAAACTGAGATGCTCTTTCTTTTGTAAATGTAGGCTTACTTTTCAAGGCACCTATTTAGATAAGGCTTTGGGAAGAAAATAGCAGAGACAGAGACATAGAGAATTTAACAGGTGCACTTAAGAGCCAGTCTCGAGAAAACCGTGTAATACTGTCCAAATCGAAGTTTACTATATCGTGAAGAAATTTCGTGGGTAGTAATACCACCTAACATGTAACTGAATAAATCTAAAAAATTACTGTTCATCAAACGTGGCAAGCGTACAAAGCGTCACCTACATTATACGCATTTAGTGGAAATTCACATAAATAGGATAGTAAAGATCACATTTGATTTATCTTACTCAAATTTAAACGGGGAGTTTCGATAAGGCCGTTTTTCGGCCCCTCACGAAATTTCATGAAATTTTGATATTTTGTAGAAAAACTTCTTATCTTCCTAAAAATATGAAAATAATTTATGTTGCGCATTTTCTGGTCACGTGATAATTGAGAATTTAAGTATACCCCCTTTCGTATATTTTTGGAGTAGACATTTTTACGGGGGAAAGTGGATTTTTTTAACCGTCAAAATCGTAAATGAAATAGGATAAATATGAATAAAGACATAAATTAACCAATTTCAAAATATTTTTTAACGGAAAATGGTATTGATTTTATACAAATGTTTTTTTAAAGGTGCGATATTTTTCTGGTGTGTTAAATGTTGCTTTTCTTTTAAAGAGAATGAATTTAACTTATAAAACGTAAACATATACGGAAAGTTTAAACATTATAATTAATCAACAGTTTATACATAAACTTTATAATCAATATTCATCATTTTCACATACGAAAAATGCAAATGAAAAGATATGTAGACATGAGATAGGTAAACGTAAAAACGTCATATATACAGATATATGCAATACATTTTCATCAGTGAGGTTATACAATTACATGTTTTATAAAAATATACCTTAATATCATGAAACTTAAATTTAAAGAAAATGTTTTGAAATAAAAAGAAAAAATCGGCACGATTAAAAAAATAAATGCAACTTTATATATATACATAAATAAAAGGTTCATTTAAAAGCATCATGTTGCTACGTAAGCCGATACATGCACAGACCCTGAAACGTGCTACTACCCCACACGCACGCTGCACGAACGGTACACGCTCGCTACACGGTTTGCACGAAACGCTGCACGGTTTACACGAAACGCTACACGGTTTGCACGAAACGCTACACGGTTTACACGAAACGCTTTGCACGAAAGGCTGCACGGTTTACACGAAAGCCTGCACGAAACGCTTTGTACACGTTTCTCACACGCTTTGTACACGATTCTCGCACGGTTTGGCCTCGATCTGGATTTTCTATTCGGAATCTCTCGGACTTTATTTCAATTATTACGGATTAATAAAAGATTAGTTAAGAATTGCAATCGTTCAGATTAAGTTAAGATTAAAACTCGCTACACCAGTACTATATTAACAGATAAAATACTCAATTTTCAGTTGTAATTAATACATAGTTGTCAGTGAGTATGTGACCCGCCCGGTGAAATACTTATTATCGTCTGTGTACAAACCTTTTTTCAGTAGACTCTAAATTACGCATTGAAAAAAAATATCTTGTTTGTAATTCATAATCTTTCACAGCATTTAATGTTTTTCCAATTATAATTTGATACTAAATCGTCGTTTTATTACTAACAAATAAACTCAGTTATTGATTTGAAAAAAAAAAAGATTCAATTGCGTATGATTTCTGTAAACGGATTGACTTTCTTTTCCCTTTTTTAATTATTGATTGATTTATACATTTTTTGATTTATTAAAAAAAGAATTCATTTGATAAAATTAGGTTCTGTTTATAATTTGCAAAGGTGATATGTAAACTGCATCTAACAGGAACATTGTGCAGGAAAAGGGGGCGGGGGGGGGGGGTAGATTACCGAGATCTTACTGCTGTATCTTCAAATCTGTACATGACTTAATATAACGGGCACTTGTTTCAGTAAGTATACCATCGGGGGAAAAATATTATAGAAACAAGTGCCCGTTCTAAGAAAAAAAATATCCATATCTCCAGCGGGACCCGATACATGTAATTCATTAAATGCACTTTATTCAAAATGGTAAATATATCGTTTCATTACAGAGTTAAACTTTATTTAATAATGAAAATTTTATATGGTAGAGAAGCCGGGGGATAAGTATTGTAATTATTTAGTTCTCTTTTGAGGCATTGGTTTATCAAATAAAAACAATATTATACCCACCACCTTTTAAAACTCTTCATTTCAAACCGCGTGTAGACAAAAAATAAATAAAAATAAAAATATATCAATAATTTATGTAATCAATAATCACGGCTCTTAACAATACATTCAATATATATGCATACATGTCCAATGTCCTAAAAACTAAAAAGAAATATTCTCTAGAACTGCGTGATTAATAAAACAACTAATATACATGTATGATTATTTAGGATTTATTTTATTTACCAATGTACTGGCAAATTAATTCACTGTTTACAGACAATCGAATAAATTTAAGAAATAAAATCCACGGGTATTTATTTATACCCATTAAATACTAATAAAACCGTTTAATTTCACAAATTAAAAATCAATCTTATTGTGGGTTGTCATCTTATCTATGATTGACAAGAGATACTTGCAGAACAAGTTTTCAGTCCCGGCACGCGGAAGCCATGATCGCTGTTGTAAATGACCTTGATCACAGTCGTAAGAAAAGTGTTGAAAGTGTAAAGAAGATTACAATATTTTTTAAGGGGTGCATCGGGCGCACCCCAAAAAAAGTAATAGATTATTTTAAAAAAGAAAATCATCAATAAAAGACTTGTTTACAACATAAACTCAGTTAGTATTTTCATTTGATCACCCCCCTCCCGGAAATATTTAACCCTGTATTTGTCGATGCATGTGAATTATAATTCATTTATATGACTATTATTAATAGCGATTCTCTGTAACCACTTAAACTTCTTTGCCACGCATGGTCACCGATTTTGATGAAACTTTGCCCATTATTACAACTTGACACCAGAAACATATATCAAATAAAATTTCGTTGCTATGCGTCTTGGTTGCCATGGTAACAGCCAGAAAAGTTGGAAAAATTGAGATTTTACGCTACTTTGAATCTTTATTAAGCCTTGATAAAGACTAAGAAAAACAAACAAACCATTCTCACAAAAATCCGAAACCTTGTTGCCACTTATGCTGTAAAAAAAACTATTTAGAATTTATCTCTAAGTAAGTTGTAACCATGGGTACATTTGGAATACATTTTAGATGCTGAAAAATGCAGAAAAACGCTCAATATTCACTAATGATAGGTGTTAAATGATCAAACTCAATCAACAACCTAAGAAAAAACAATAAAAATATTTGACCTTAAGTAATTAGGTATTGGCAATATTATTCTAAAAATAACTTTCATGGTTGCCATGGTAACACAGTGTAACCATGCAAAATATGTTGCTAAGATTGGGTTAAAGCTATTATCTTCAGGAAAAACAATAAAATTCGTGACTGGCACATATACATCCTTATGACCTTGCAACACCGGCAACATAAGAAAAATTGGGATTAATTGTTACTTTGCAGTGTTACCATGGAAACAATGTACCAGTTGTTTAAAGGGATATTTTTTTGCTGCCTTAGGAATTTACTTACTTTTTATTCAAGAAACATATTATTTGACTCACCTTGAATAGTACTTATCTTGAAGAACAAAAGTTGAATATCATATATTGATAACGTTTGTTGAAAAATACAACACTGTTGCTATGGTAACCAAGAAGGGAAAATGTTCGATTTTGTTAATTTTATATCGATATGAAACCCTATGTGCCAGCTTTTTGCATCCAGTTAGAGATTGGGTGGCAGTCAAAATTGAAAGTCAGGTTAGTTGTTCATAATTATCAATCATAAAAGTTTTGGGAATCTACATACAAGGGTACGTATCTAAGGAAACAAAATATTTTTCAGATTTCTATGCATATTTTTTCGGCTCATTTCCATAGCAACGCACTATTTAAAGAATTGAATTTGAATTTTTTGAAATGTGAAAATTAGGGTCACATGAACGTCTTTAAAAATTGATCATCAGTTATATAAAAATATGCTTTTTAAAAAGATAGGATAAGATTTAAACACTAAGAGAGTAAATTTAAAATCCCTTCTTGGTATTAAAACCATGGCAACCATTGCCATCCTATAAGAAATATCATATTTCTTCCTTGGTATAAGTTACAAGGATCTTTTGTCTATTATTTGCTTGCATTTCAACCTATAATTTTTTTTTATTCTTAAGTGTATGATTTTATAAAATTAAACGGGCAAAATTATTACTTTTGAATACTTTGTTTCCATAGTAACGAATGTAATAGCTGATTTACCAAACATGTTTATCGCGCATTTAAGACATCAGGCCTTCAACTTTCAGAATCAACCATTGCCACTTGTTTGCTTTGCTGCAAACGTTAACTGTGGGACTCTGAACATGTTGAAAAATGCCATTTTTCAAACTTTAGGACATGTTGCCATGGTAACCATGACACGTAGCAACCATTTTCTGCCTGATTTGAGTTTACAGTATCAAAGACTTTTATCATAGAGAGTTTGGAGAAATTCTAAGACTATGCGTGCCACAGCTCCTATATAAAAGTGCAAGTCGTTACAGAGAATGGCTCTTAATCAACCAATTTTATGCATAAAAAAGACTATAAATGACTCATCGTTCCGAAATAATTTGTATCACAATCTTGTAATATAAGAAAATTATGTTCGTTTATAAAGAAAATCAATTAACTGTACTCCCCGGCCTAGAATTCCAATACTTCACATTTATAGCAACACACTAAATTTTGCATTTTATTTTTCACGCCTGCCATATTTATCTATTATTTTGTATTAATCACCGATATGTTCTTGTAATCCCACATCCCATAACTGTAGAATGGTGAAGAGATTCAAATAAATGAATGAAAAGGACAAGACCGAATTTCTAATGAATTTTCTTTTAAAAAATGTTCAGTATTGCTCCCTTTAAAAATGTATTGAATTAAATACCTTAAAATTTATGTGCATATAATTAATTACTTTTAACACATTTTCTGTCCATCTTTATTGAAATAAAAAAAGAAAGAAAATCAAACAAATATGTAATACATTACCGAGTAATTTTATTTTGTTGTTTCCGTATTTTTTCACTCTTAAAATACCACCGGTATGATATATCCGAATAATATTAGTTACAAACAACACAGAAGGACATGTTGATCCATCAATAGCCATCTTTAAAATAAAAAGACTTCCGAATGAATCCTACACGTTTCTCACACGGTTCTTACACGAAAGTCGCACGTTTCTCACACGCTTCTTGCACGCTCGCTACACGGTTTGCACGAAACGCTTTGGAGCTTACACGAAACGCTGCACGGTTTACACGAAACGCTACACGGTTTGCACGAAACGCTGCACGGTTTACACGAAACGCTACACGGTTTGCACGAAACGAAAAGCGCACGAAAGTCACACGCTTTTTTGGGGTAGTAGCACGTCTCAGGGTCTGTACATTGTAGGTGCAAGGTAAGAAAAATTAAAATATTTTATCTGTCGACTGCCACATAATTATTCGGCTAGAAAAATATATCTGGCGGCTGCAAAATAGTTTTCCTGCGGCCACCACATAAATAACTGGCGGCGGTCAGAAACTTATCTGGCGGCCGCCACATAAATAACTAGAAGCCGCCAAATAAGTTTCTTGCGGTATATAGACATGTAATCTAATAAAGCAAAAATTTTATGTTATGAAGTGAAGACTTTATGAATTGAATTTTTGTATAAAGTGTAGATGTGATCATTGCTAATAAGGCATTAAACTCCCAGCGTTGACTACAAACAGAAGTTATAGATGTCTTAAAGCAAAAACACTACAGTTTTATCTGGCGACCGCCAGATATTTCAATGGCAGGCGCTAGAAACTTGTCTTTTTTTTTTACCTAGCACCTACCGGCTTCAGTATATTGCAATGTATTTGATAATATGGATAATATTAATAAGAGTCAAAAATATTTTATCATGATACGTAATTATGTGAATAGCCAAATGATGGAAAAATCTATAATACATTGAGTGTTCCTTTTTCATTATGAAACTTAGAAGTAATTGCCTACAAATATCTGCATTATTTTTTCAGCATAACTGAGAGAATCCCAGCCAGGACTAATTTCCTCTCGCTTCCCAACTCTCCACAGATACTTAAGTTGCTTACCAACTCTAGTCATTTCTCATTTAGAAAGTTTTAGAATTCATTATGTATGATTTGCTAGACCAGAGCGCAGTTCGAAATACATGTGTAAACGCCAAGGATATGTGTTTAATCCTTAATCAGGCAGACATATGCGCCTATACATCCAGACTTAATTAAAACAGTCCATGTTCCCTATATCAACCACATGTAAATATAAGGGCGTTTCTCTAGCATGTTGGAGGTGGATTTCTATTTACAAGAAAGTCAAAAATATAAATATGCATGATAAATAACGTTAAGGAATGGACTTGCTCTAAACCTTATTTTTTGTATAGTCAGTCGGAAAATGTAAGAAAGATCCAGCATATGAACGATGTCTGGTAGTGTGCAATCCTAGATGCATCATCAGTGCAAGTCCCGCTCACTCATTAAGGAAATGTAGGTCAGATCCAGCATCTGAAGCAAGTCTGGTAGTGTGCATCCGTAGATGCATCATGAAGCAAGTGCTTACAGCTGCTCTGCTCCAAAAACTTAAATCTGATTTTAAAACATTTACCTGAACATTCTTTGGCTAAAAATGCAGCATCTGAAACCTGACTGGTGACAAGGAAACACGCTAGATCATGTGACTCTGATTAATGTAGAGCATAAATATACTTGAAAAAAAAAATCTGCTTCAAAAACTTTTACCAGGAACACCGATGTCGACGGTATTACAAAAGCTCCCCAAACTTCGTGGAGGTGAGCTAAAAATGTGACGTTAACGTTATACGTTGGCGACATAAAAAGTATCGAAATAAAGATAGATACGATAATGTTTTCTACTGTTAATATAATCGAGAATCTTCCTTGATTTAAAAAAATACGCTATTTTTGGCCGAGTATTTTAACACAGAGTCAGATCAAGAAACCAGGAGCTTCTAATTTTAGATATGCAAATTGTATGCAATTTTCAATTTTTGGATATTAAGTGCACACGCGACACTCATCATATTTCAAGAAATTAGTGTTCAGAGTATATCTAATTACTAAACAAATTTAGGTGAGTGTCCCTCGTGCACTTCATATTCTAAACATCGATTTATAAATGCCACCCTCTTATATTTTCCCATAAGTCTAATGTTAACTGATCTGAGGGTATATCTTAGTATGTATCAGCTACGGCGTGAATTTATCTCATATTAACTTTTGAAATATAAATAACAAAAGTTAACATATTTATCTTGAATTCTAAACTAGTTTTGAAAAAAAATAATTGAAATTTATTTTTATGAAAAAAGTGGGCCGCTGAGCAGCCTTATCGAAACTCCCCCTTTGTGCGGTTTCTTTAAGGTATTTTAAAGTAACATACATGTATATGTTCTTATAAAACTGACATTTGTCGTTATCAATATACAACATATCAAAGGACAGGCAACTTAATACGTACTGAGTAGCCGAAATCTTTAACGAACATGATACGAAATTAATTTTTTGATATTATCGTCATAGTATAACTCTAATCATTAAATTTGCAAAATATTGAACTTGGCATATAATAACTCATTGCGATATAGGGATTTACAATTAAACTGCCCATTTTCGAAAAATTCTTCAAATTCGAATGGGTTACACAGTCAAGTAAAGAACTTAAAATTATAAATATTCGTTTGGAGATAAGAAGAAAAGATGTTACCATATTCCTCATCATGTTTAAGGAAATAACTAAAATTAAAACATTTGATAAAATTGAAAATTAAATTTAATTGACACAAATTATCCCCAATATGAGGATTGGCATTTTGGCAATTGTTCAGAAACAGGATTATTTTATGATAAATTGAGCTGACCGATGTGCACATGTCAACAATCATATTGAATGACCATGTTTCCTACATTTTTGTAAGAAAGTTCCTTTATAATCAAAAATGAATTTACATGACTTTGTATGTAAATGGAGTAGTTCTCTAGTACAACATTATTTATATAAATTATGAGACTTGAACACAGGATAGATCAGTTGTTTGCTTTCTGCCAGTTTGAAATTGGCAAACTTTTGTAAAAATAACATTTCTGAATTATAAAAATATAAAAATATTGATATGAAATGCTATAGGAAATACTCTGTAAGGGGTTTAAGCAATTGTCTTTCAAATCAAAGAGCTTACATACATTTATAATGCAATAATTAGGACATAAGAGTTTTCAAAAATCAAAGACTTCTTATTAATAAAATTTTATTTTTTTTGGTTAAATTATTGTTGCATACTGTATGTGTACATAAATTAACGTATTCAAAATTAAGCGCAATCAGTGGGTCTGTAGTGGTTGGCGTAGTTATGAATTAGCGCCACGCATGTAGCGCTAAAAAATCAAAATTAAAAAAATACTCATTGTTGAAGTAAAATTTCAATATCTTATTCTAAATAATTTTTAAATATCGTATTAGATTATTGTTGTTCAATTAGCGTGTCCATTTGGCTGAAAATAACCTTAAGGTATTTATTGTGCGGTCGTAGTTTGGTTGTTGAACATTTAATTACCGTTTACAAGTGATTAAAACAATTAACTTAGATTTCCTGGTCCAGGAGGATCAATAATGTGTGTATTTATGTTAGAGTAGTATTGTGTAACTAATGCCGCGCGTACATGTACATTGTCGAGGTTCACATATAGAGTATGCAGGTCGACACAGTTGAACTGAATGGTCCAAGTGACAGGTGCCAATAACCCATTTTATATTAAAATTGATGCTCAAAAGTGAATTGGGAAAAAAATCAGATTAAACAAGGATATATATTTACATACATTTATATTGGCCTATTGCCTGTTGAAATAGATAACGACTAAATCGGGCTCGGTGTTCGAGGCCTGATAAAACGGCAGATCGAAGCAAGTAAATGAAAAACATCATATCGTATTCATTTATTAACGGTAATCATGAATTAGCGCAGCGCTGTCTGTGCTAAAGCCGCTAAAATATGAAGCTCGCTTTTTTAAGTACACATACAGTATGATTTTTTTTTCTTATATTATCTTAATAAAATGGATTTTGTAAAATGACATACTGTAAAATCCTTTATTATTCGTAGGGCAATTCTTTATGGTTTGGGGAAAATATTGGTCCGTGAGGATTAAATTTTGTGGTTCCCATCAGGTGTTTAATTGCTACACTAACTGACAAAAGGCGCACAAATTGCATAGATATACAAATATTTATTGTCACAAACACAATTACAATAACAACCAAGTTCTAAATTGTTTTTAATTATCTCTAACCTTTTAGAATGCCTCCCTGGATTTTATGGTATAAACTGTCAGTACAGATGTAGCGGTCAATGTGTCAATAATGAGAACTGCAGCAGATTCGACGGAAGTTGCTCTCTAGGATGCAAAGATAATTATGTTGGGGTAGCTTGTGACTCTCTTCGTAAGTTCTTGTCTTTTGTCTGTAACAGAAATGAAATGAAAGTGTAGAGTAGGATTTCAACATTTTTAATTACATGTACATTGAAATGCAAATGTTTCATCCGTTGCTGGAGATGTTTAATTTCAAAGTATTTTAAATATTGTTTGTACTCATATTCATTATTTGGATATTTTCCAGATGATAGTTCTACCAGTGCGTCAACAGTAGGACTTGCCATAGTAGTTGCAGTATATTCTGTATGCCTAATGGCTGCCCTCATTTTCTTTTATTTGAGGTATATCGAATGCACAGAATGTTTAAAAAATTAGAAATGATTTGAAATTTACTAAACAACAATGGATCGAATTAAGATTGTGTTTATGATGTATAGTAATTAGATAAAGCAAGCTATTCAATTTTTGACCATAAGCTCTGACTACAAGTTATTTCAATTTATTTTCATAAAAAGTTGTTTTTTTTTTTCTCTCTAAAAGAGAACAATCAGAGAGATTCAATTATTCACATTTCACATAAAACAATAATCTAACATTTTAAAGAAAATGAATTGGAAACTGTGACTATATTAAAATATCTGAAATGGGGATACATTGCATGTATACTTTTTTTCAAAGACCACAACACTGCAAAACCTCAAAAGAAAGAAAACCGAAGTTTGCACCTAAAGACACGAAGAGTGTTCAATCCTCATCCCCACAGACCAATTACTTAAATGACGTCACACACAATTATCAGGACCTAGATGATGACGATAAAGACTCATATGAGTTGATACAAGCATCTGCGAATCTGTGTGCTTATCAGAAAATAGAACATACAACATAAGTATGAGTGAATATTGCTTCCTTTAATACTCATAACAACTTGACAAATGAAATATATAAAGTATAGAAATAGAAATCCGTACTTTAAACAGTTGCATATGGTAAACTGAGTACACTATCAATATCTGAATCAGCTTTATAAAGGCACTAGCTTTCATTATACCCCCGCTTGAAAAAAAAAATGCGGGAGGGTATAGTAATAGGGGTGTCATTCCGACCCCGAATTGCGCTCTCGGATACCCATCTTTAGCACAAATCCTCCAATACTACTGAATAAAGATTAATGAAACTTTCACAGAAACTTTGTAACATAGTGACATTGTGTGTACCTCTTATGTTACTTTTTGATCGAATATCTTTTTCGGGTTTCCCATAGCAATAAATAGACAAGGCCATTCTTTTTTATATAAAATGAAGGGGGGGGGGGGTTACCCATCTCGTATTTGCAACTACTCATATACATGTACCACTGAATGAAATTTAATGATACTTTAACAGAATCTTTGTTACACAGTGTCATTGTGCACTTTCATTTTACTTTTTCATCGGGAATATTTTTCGTGTTTCCCATGGCAAAACATAGACACTACCATTCTTACTATAATTTTGGGGGGATCAATTTCTTATCAGCAACTCCTCCCATACCACAGAATGAAGTTAAATGGGACTTTCACAAAATCTTAAATACATAATGCCATTATGCACCTCCTATTTTACTTTTTGATCGGACACATTTTTTCGGGTTTCCCCATAGTAAAACATAGAACATTACCATTCTTTCTATAAAATTGAGGAGTACTGAACTCTTACCTACAACTCCTCCTATACCACTCAATGAAATTTAATGATAATTTTACAAAAAAACTTAATTATATAGTACCAGTGTGCATCTCTTATTATGTTCCCCAAACGAAGTTTGGGAACATATTGTTTTTACTCGGTTTCTTATTATTATTATTATTATTATTCTTTTTTATTCTTATTTCTTCTCCGGTACTTTTTTGTCCGCGAGTGTTCTCGGAAACTGCACATCCAATTGAGTAAAAACTTTTTTAGGGTTACTAGGTATGTTATGTAGATTTGCGTGCGCGTGCATTGCGTAAAATGACCAATATACATGATATAGTTGTAACTTTTATATTTTTTGATGAAATGCTTTGATACTCAGAATATAAGGATATATTAAAAGTGTAGACAAGATGACATGGTCAGCATGCACATGCACGAACGTGCGCGCACGCGCAAATCGTAAAATGACCAATTTACTTGATATAGTCGTAACTTTTATATTTTTTGATGAAATGATTTGATACTCAAAATATTTATATATATTAAAAGTGTAGACAAGATGACATGGTCATCATGCACATGCATGCACGTGCGCGCGCGTGCAATGTGTTAAATGACCAATATATTTAATATAGTCGTAATTTTTATATTTTTTGATGAAAAGCTTTGATATTAAGAATATACAGATATATTAAAAGTGTAGACAAGATGATGTGGATATCATGCACATGCATGCACATGCGCGCGCGTGCAATGTGTTAAATGACCAAAATACTTAATATAGCCGTAACTTTTATATTTTTTTATGAAAAACTTTGATACTAAGAATAATCAGACATATTAAAAGTGTAGACAAGATGGCATGGTCATTATGAACATGCATGCTGGTGCGCGTGTGCGCAATGCTAAGATGACCAGTATACTTGATATAGCCGAAACTTATATATTTTTGATAAAATGTTTTGATACTGAGAATATAAAGATACATTAATAGTAAAGATGGGATGACATGGTCATACTGCACATGCATGCACGTGCGCGTGCGTGAAATGCAAAAAACGACAAATATACTTCATTGCCTTATTTAATGAAGCTTACAGGAAATAAGACACCAAAAGGGAGTTGGGGAGCGTTTGGGGAACATCTGTAACGGTCCCCGTTACAATTATAACTAGTTTTACCTTATGATGGAATATATTTTCTCAGGTTTCCCATAGTAAAAAAATAGACACTGCCATTCTTTCTATAAAATAAAGGGTATTAGTTTCTTTTTTCCTGAACTCCTCCTATACCACATAATCTTTTTAACATAGTGTCATTGTGCACCTCCTATATTACTTTTAATTTGAGACATATTTCAGGTTCTCCATATCAAAACATAAACACTGCCATTCTTTCTATACTATAAGTTGTACGCATTTCTTATCCGCAATTCTTCCTATACCACTGAATAAAATTTAATGATATATTCATAGAATGTTAATTACAAAGAGCCCTGGTGAACCTTCTGCTTTAAGTTTTGATCGGACAGAAAAAAAATAAAATATACTCATATGGGAGCGGGATATACTTTTGTGAGCTAAATGCTCACAGTACATCTAGTATATATTTAATGAAGCACTGTGAATGAGTGTGAAATTTTCTTTGTTCGGTAGATACATCTATAAACATTTCTTTAAAAATATTTATGGAAGTCCTTTAGCACTTTGTTTCGTTTACCTTTTTTGAAACAAGACATTATTTTTAAATCCAAAAGTAAATCTTAATCAGCCTTGCTCATAGTAGTTATGCATATTTTAAATTGCCAAATGCGTGAATTAAAAAAAAAAAATTGTCTGGCAAATTTAAATTTGTTGACAAAATTCAATTTACCATGACAAATATATATATATATATATATATATATATATATATATATATATATATATATATATATATATATATATATATATATATATATATATATATATATATATATATATATATATTATTTTACTTTACCTACATTATAGTTAAAAGAACAATGTTCATTTAGGACCCTTTTTAGCCTTGTGAAATTCTGAAAAATCAAAACTGCTTAGCTTTAAATGACAATGCATTAAATATCTCTTGGGCCGTTGGTGAATGCATCTCTATTGAGAAATGAAGTAATTTTCTCGCAAGTCAATACATAAAATTGCCTGTAATTTGTTGATAGACATACTAATTTAATCTACCAATAATAAAAAAAAATCTGCAATTCTTTTTTTCGGTAAAGAGTGATTAAGTTCATTGATAATTATAAAACAGTTTTGTTGCACTTCTTGCTCTAGCAAATTCTAAAATTAGAACTAAACAGCACAAAACTTCTTCATGTTTTTTTAACAACACGTAGTAACAAAATTTTGCTATATTTGTAGTCCCAACACTTCATGGTTAAAATATATAAAATTGTTTAAACGCGGGTTACAGATTTTGATTTCTTAGCCTCAACCCTTAGGTCCCAGGGGGTCAGCGACCATACATTTTACAATTTGATTTCACGCGAATACCGGGGTTCACTTTTTGGGTTCGCACTGATGTTAGGTTGTCTGGTCCGTACTATAGATGGCGCGGGTATGTTAAGGCTACACCCAGAGATATACTACTTGCCTCTACAATATGACGTCATAGTAAGCTGTATGACGTGAAGTTTAGAAATAATGATTTCTTAATATCTATATTTAAAGTTTAATTTCAGGTCCAAGAAATGAATGGAATCATTCAAAAACATAATGTAAACAAAAGCATGTCGTGTTTGGGTGGTATAAACAGCTAAGTATTTATCACGGGGGTTAAATACCAAACCTATGACGTCATAACTATTGATCAATTATTTGCCGAGTGAAAATTAAACGTGACGAGAATTCATGTAAACAAATATGTAAAATGGGAGTTTTAAAGCATATACCGTGAATGTTATGTGTGATTCATGAGGAATAAAAGAATAAGAATCAGGTACGCTGATATATTCTAATCATGTTTTCTTATAATGAACACAGTCAGTGCTTAAAATCCCGATCAGCCTTTCCTCTGTCGGTCTATAACAACAAAGTTGCAAAAGTTCAACACTACGCCGCATACCTTGAGACATAATTTTTGTTTGTATCGAAAGCTTGTATTCTATAGTACTTGGAAAGTGCTGCTGGAATGGTGTGATTAACATGAAATGATGACAATTCCTTGATCGTTTGTACAAAATGTAATAATTTTGGTAAGGTTTCATGCGAAACTTTGGAATAATTTTTTCTGTGTCGGGAGATTAGGATTCTAGCAGCACTTTTCATGACCCAGTGATGTTTTTACATAATTATTTTCACAAAAAGAATTGAATTATCCCCGGGGTAGTGTTGAACTTTTCACTTTTTCATTAAGGAAATTTTTCTATTTATAGACGTCACGTGATGACGTCGTAGTGGAGTGCTTCTTTTAGCGTAAAACTCAATGACGTCTACACAATGGATAATTATAGTAAATGTTTTATCTATGGCTTTTCCGATTTATCAATGTTACATTTTACGAAAAAAGTCTAAATTCGCCGAAATATGATCGGGGTACTGCCTTAACATACCTGCGGGACCATAGGCTTCATCCAACTCTGAATCATCACCACCCTAATTAGGTTCTTCAGTCGTAACCAATCTGTCAACAGATAATAATATTTAGTGGAGTGATTGTTTAAGAATCTCAATTATAAAATACTTACATTCTTTTAGTTTCATAAAAAGCTTGGATTATTAATCAAATGAATACCAACTAGAGCTTAACTAAATAAAGCTATTGCTTTTTCCTGTTTATACAAAGTTAAAATTTGTGTAGAAATTTCTTTTCGTTAAACACATATATGTTACCGGATTTTTTTTTCTTCTGTTTATCCGAAACTGAAAAGGCCAGTTTGACCGGTCAACATGGGAAGGTTACTCCTCCATGGTACCTGAACTTATATACACCTGAGGTTGCTTTTCTTACAATACAATAGTTAAATTTAAATTTTTAGCATGACTACTGTTCGTCATGCTTAGAATTCAATATAAAGGTAAGATGAAAGAAAAGTTTCTTGTTTGTACTAATTTCCTCTTCACGTTCAATACATACATTCATTGCTTATGTACAATAGAATATAAAATTGTAAGCAAATATAATCTATCGTTAATTCGTATGTATTGAACACTGATGTTTTTCATACAATTATCC